TCGATCGAAGAGTCAAAGTATTTTAGATTCATGCATTTTCTTTCCTGGAATAATTCCTGTTCATTCTTTTATAAGCCCTAATATCCACTACTTCTCCTGGAAGAGATGCTTTCCCTGTTTTTTGTTTTTTTGTTTTTTGTTTTTTTTCGACTCAAGTTTCCTGACAGCTCTGTTAGAGCAACTTGCATAATGTGTTTAATTCTTGTTCAAGTAGTCATTTGCATGATAGAACTCCAAGTGCCCCTCTGCTAAAAGCTCCTGCTGACTCAGGTCAAAATAAGGCCAATTCTGCTGTTTATCCTAAGGCCCATTTCATCAGCCACTTGTGTCAAGGTTAGAAATGTGTCTGGTTAAGCCTTGGTTCATTGCCTTTTTTCCCATTACTAAATATACATGTGCATGACATGCATCTCCCTTCTGCCCTCCACCCCATCTGGATGTCACTGCTCTAATAAAAATGGGAAGGGCTGGGTTTTGCATTTAAGTTCTTTAGGGTTTTAAAATCCTAGATTCTTTGTCTATTTGCATGGATTCTAAGGTAACTTTGAAAAATTCTTACAATGGACCATTCATGCTTCATTACTCCCAATTCTTTTCTTTCCAACATAAAGAACATTATAATGGGGCTATAGTGCACCATTTGTAAAATAACCTTAAAACATGGTGCCATGAATTGCTCATTGTCTGTTCCCCTAGTGTAATGTATCTGTCTCTATTATGGCACATATTAACATGTGTAGCTATTCTTGCATTACCACGTTTGTTTTGTTTAGGAGCCATAACTTCTATATTTATGCCAATCATGTTCACTCATATATTCATCTACTCATTCAATACATTTAGAGCTTTTAATTATTTATATCTTGTGCTAGAGGCTCAGTAATTTTTTTGGTACTGGATATTATACTCATTTTTAACTATATAAATTAATATGTACTTGGAAGTCAAACAAAAAACAAGATTTTAGTCATCTGCAATTAATCCTGTCTATATAAATATGTAATGTAACAAAAATAGAGTGCAGATAGAAAATTTTGTAGAAATAAGATGCAAAACATTTAAGTTCTTGCATCAGTTTTTGTATTTGTTGAGCAACTCAAAAAAAGTCACAGTGTCTCTTTATGAGCTTTCTGTTTGTTCCACCCAATTTATAAAGTTGTTAAAAAGGTTGAATAAAAGACTATATCTAAAAATGTTTTGAAAACCATATGAAAAGTTATTTCAGCTGACTGTGAAAAGAAGTTGAAAGCATATGGTTATGTTTTAGATATGGTGTCCCTGGGAGTTATGTACATAGAAAGAGAGTTAATATTGATAATTAGTCAAGAATAAGTAAACTTATAAAATTACTCTGCTATCCAAGCCCCCAAATTACAAACTTATATATACATTTAATGTACTAAGTAATACTGGGGAAATATCCTCCCTAGGAAATGGATGGTAAATTTATCAATAACAGTTTAAGTTTTTAGTTTTCACTAAAAGAAACATAGTATACAAGAAGATGCAAATTATTTTAATTTTGAAATGTTATAAGTTTAGCTACATACTAATTTTTTATATTGGTTTAAAAATTGATTTAATGACAGAATAGCTCATATTATAGTTTACCAATACACGAACTTAGAAATGGAGACTTTCTCTATTCTATTATCTTGAGTTTCTTGTAAATTTTGAAACAACTGAGATATAGGACAAAAAAATGGGATAGATACAGATTCTTACAACTCTTAACAGACCAAATTAGTGGATAGTTTACACTTACGGCCAGAGAGGGCTTTTGAATACATCACCCAATTATAACCCTTACTTTGTCCCCAGGTTTGCACTCTCCTTTGTAGGGTAAGAGATAGCCTCACTTAATGCTCACATGGGAGAAGAGGCTCCAAAGCTTGGATCCTGCTGATAAACTATCTCTGAAAGATAGCGACCTAGAAGATGCTGAGCTGACCATGCTCAATTGCTTCTCCCAAATGTATCAATTAGATCAGTGTCTTCTCATGAGAGGAAGGCATTGAGGGAGAGAGCAAAAGTACAATATTCCTCCCATGTGCTCTTTGGGGAAGAAAGTGGAAATTTTCCTTTTGGTTTGAAAAATAAGTAGTTATTGTGTCCTCAATATATGCTTGCCATCTGTTACCCACTGGACATACTCTACCACAGCAGAAACTCAAGTTGTCATTACTGAAAATAGCAGTCTCTACTACACTTTGCACGGAGAAGACCACGGCCTTGGTCTTCTGGACCACTGCTCCAACCTCTACAGCACCAGTGCAGTGGGCCTGATAGGGCATCCATGTAAGGAAACCATAAAGTTGATCAAAAATTGATTTAACTCTTCAAGTCAAGCTTTCTTTTTCTTCTCTTCATTCTAGAAAACTAAAGTGGTCGGTTTTAAATGGTAAATGACCATATTCTTCAAATGTCTTAATAGATGTTAATAGTTAGGTTGATCAATCACTGTTGAAATGAATGAAAAGTATCACAATATTTTAGTACATGGTATTTTGTAAATGCTGTTATTCTGCTATTGTTTTATTATTTTAAATAAAACTTGTATAGGAAAAAACACCACTAAAACTGGATATACAGTAGTGGCTAAGTAGGAGGATTTCAAGTTTGGGCCAAACCTAGGCAACTTAGTGACTTAAGACCCTTAAAATAAAAATAAAAAGGGCTGGGGAGCCTTTGTGAGCAAGGCTTGAGTTCAAGTAACACACACACACACACACACAAACACACACACACACACACTGACTCGTTATATTTCACGGACCTTGGTTAAACATGGGTCTTGGTTAAACACAGTGCAAGGCATTGTGCCAAGCACTGTGGAACACATAAAGAAACAAAGACATAAATGATCTCTGTACACCTTATCTGAAAAGCTTCAGCCAGAGGAATTTACATCCTAGTGTAAACATACTGAAATAAGTTCAAATACTGGGAGGCCAAGGATACAATTCAGGGCCCCAAATAGAACAGAACAAAGTCAGAAATGTCTAGATTAAAACTAAATGAAAGGAGACTTTAGCACTAAGGACATGTCCTCCAAATGGTGGGAGGTGTATCTGAAAAGATGAAAACACAGAATCTGCCGAAGTTTTGTACAGCTGGACAATAGCACAAAACCCAAGTGCCTGCGAGGGAGCTTTGAATAGCTTCGCTAGGCTTTCAGTTTGAACAGAGGATTGGACAGAAGCTTCTCAGCCCTTGAAGCATGTGGGAGGGAAGAAGAAGACAGGCTATGAATATCTTATCCCTGAGCTTTTTAGTGGGAATAATGGATTTCTTGTCTTACCTGTATCAAGAGGTCCAACCCACCTATTCTAAACAAGCAAGACACTCCAGAAATTAAACCGGAATATCTTTATGCCATAGTAAGTTTTTATGAATTGGATCAATTTATAGAATAGCAAACTGTTAGTTCTTGATTTTTAAACAATTTCTTTAAAATTAATTAAAGTTTCTGTCATCTTCAGGGTTAGAGGAGATATGAATACCTTAAGAAAAATATCAGATAGGACTCAAGCATGCCATAAATATGACATTAGGCAAGTAAATAAATGTTGCCTAAGTTTCTCGTTTATATGTTCATATCCTAAAGCTTTTTTAGCCATTGACTCATTATAGAATTCTTATAGTTAGAAATATATTATAAAAATCACTTAAGAAATCTCCCACTCATTTCTGTAATGTCTCCTAAAGTGTCAGAGATGGGCTTAGGGAATGCATTACCTCCTAAACAACTCATAGGTTTTTATTTTTAATGAGTAGAAAGTTCTTTTTGTGTGTGTGTTGAGACAAAACCTACTACCTTGTGACTTCCCCTCCCAATCTAGTTTCAACCTTCAGACTAAAACAACCCAAGTCTGAGTTCCTCATCTGTAGATATTCTTCAAACATTTGTATGTAATGCTGGTGTTGTGATCTACTTTTTTTATTGAGACAGTTATATTTGGGTCCTTCAGTTATTTTTTCATGGCATATTTTCCAAAAGGATATTTTAGGAATAATAAATCTTTCTTTCTACTTTATATCATTGCCAATGATATCCCTCTTTATTTCCTTATATTTTTAAAAAGTCTTTTCCACATTTCTCTTCCCATACAAAATTATTGCAGGGTGATTTGGGAATACCAGAGTGTTGAACTTTACATGAACAGATGGACAGAGTTTAAGGGTTTGAGAGGAGATTACAGAACAAAGCTTCTTGCAAAGAAGGTCACTGTGCAAAAGTTTGCTATGTGCAGTTTGCCCATTAATCAGTTTCTGAGTGAGCAGAAAACATTGGCAGCCCATTTTCTGAAGATTTATTAGTGAATAAGCACAAAACAATTTGTCTAGCAAGTTTTATGTGGCCATGTATGTATATCTCAGTATGCTACTCTTTATGGGTACAAGCAAGAAAAACCATTTCTAAATGACTGAGGCCAAACATTTTTCTGTGGAAAGGTATTTTATTTTGGTCTTCCTTTATCTAAATTATGTTACCATGTGTCTCCACCACTGCTCTGAATGGACAGAGAATAGGCAAATTGAAATAGAAGAAAATGAGAAACAGAAAAATGTTTCATTCCTCCAATTTTTCATTCTTCTCAAATTGGCTTTGCCTAACTGTATTTTTTGAAGTGCGAATACTGTTATCCAGAAATGACTATTTATATGATATTTAAGAAAACTTTGATGTACATTACTTGTCATTTGAAACCATTTCTTTCTACATTTCAAACCATAGGAGGGTCATTCAGGCAAAAAAAAAAAATCCTTAGTTTAGTTTTAAGGGACAGGAATATAAAAGAATTGGAATGAATACTGAAGCCACCTAGAGACAATATTTGAACTGGAGTAATGTATGAGTGATGCTAAAGGTATTTTGGGGAGTGTTGAGCATAGTTAGGAGGTGCTGCCTGAGGACTGCATTAAAATGACCACCCCTTATTACAACTGCAGCAGCTGTGGTTGTCTCCAAACACTAGCCACTTGTTAATATTTCTTACCTGAGAAAATGGGTAGCCACACCTTCACATCCTTCAAAGACTGGAGAGCAGGCTGACTTCTTGCCTTGATGCACCTCCAAGGGACCCACTTTTCCAATCATCACTGAACTCCTCCTGGAGCCTCCCCTCCAAGCTCCCCTATCTCCATCCCTCCGAGGCACCAGCCTGACCCTAGCTGTGTCTCTAATGAATGAGGAGGAGTGGCAACACCCCACTGCCTGTCAGAGACCTGAAAAATTCCACTGAAATCTTTCTTCTGAAGAAGAATCTGACCTCAGATAAACAATATCCTTTGTTCACATTTCTCTGCTCCCCACCAAAGTGGTGAATTTTAACATTAGATGCTCAAGAAACATGTGCCAAGTAGGAAAGAGGGATAGACACATTTTTATTTTATTAACACTGTATATTCTTCTTCCTCCACGTTTCCAATTTTTCCCTGGCCAGCAACATAAAGACAGTTAGAGAGAGACTTTTGGTGACATTCCCTTTGTTTAATGAAGCTTGGAGTTATGGGCAAGTGCCTTGAACTGCCGTTATTATCTGCATGAGTGAATAAGGGCTGAGGGTCCAGATCTGTGCAGGGACTTTTATTGCAAATAGGCACATTGATCATTCATAATCAGCCCTACCAGGTCAGCACTGCTGCTGTACCAGCAGGCTCTGGAAAAGCTGACCAAGGAAGCATGAGTGCTCATAGATTATCTTAATATTCAAGCAGGGTAAGAACTTTCTTTTCTTACACACTCATATCTTTGCTTTCTTCTGACACAGTGACAATGGGAACCAAGACACATTTAAACTGTATTCCGTACAATTAATCACAGAGACACCTGCTGCGTATCTTAGAATTTTAAATGTTTCTGAAGTCTGACTTCTTCTAGAGGTGTATAAGGGTTTGTGCTTTGTTATCTGATGTAGCATACTACTTAGAGTACCGTGAAGGGGCTTCACTGTAAAAGCAGCGTCTTGTGATTTCCTAATGTTCCCACATTCAAAGTCATGTTCAGTAGAGAGCACTTACAAGAGATGATTCCTTGAAGCTTCAAAGTGAATGTGAACTCCAGTGTTCTCTAGTAAATTTGGAACTATGTTTTTGGATGCATCAATATCCTGTATAAAATTTAAACCTTGTGTAAATTAGTGTACTAGTGAAAGCCTGATGACTATGTTACTCTCATGATCCATCAGAGACATTTCTTTCTCAGCAGTGTCTGTGTGACTATTGGACCATCAGCACAATAACACAGGGACAATGAAAGGTGGATTTTATTTAGGTTAAAAATTTGGAAGACATTTTGCCCTAAAGAATAACAAATATAAGAAGGCATTAATCATCAAGGGTGCAAACATACTATTAATGATATAAAATTTGAGCAGTTTCTCAAATCAAAAAGGAATATTTTGAGATTAATAGCATATGATGAGAGCACTAGAAACTGAATTTGTGTCATACAGAAAATGATAATGCTACGCTATTGTGAGTTGAATATGCTTTGCAAATTATTTTTTTACTGATGATAAATTTGCAGTGTATATCCATACACTGTCATTTGTTTGATCTTGGGCCCACAAGTTAAATGTATGTTAGTGACTGAGAAGAGAAGGGGATTTTCTGCACTATGTGGATGATGCTCTCATGAGCTTGTTACCATAATTGCCTAACCAGTTATGCTGAGTCAGCACAGGATACATCAAAGAGTTAAAAGCAAAATGTGGCCAGCTGTTAAGCACTTCTTTAGGAGACTTCCTTCTGGCAATCCTGAGAATATAACCAAGGCCGCAATGCTTTTATCAAGTTGAGAAAGAAGGAAGTATTCTTTTGCAAAAATAGCCAAACATATATCTTTACATATGGACAGATTTTTTTCCACATTGTTTTCCATTTAAAATTATCCTAAAATAATCAGTACCCTTTAAGCTCTTATGACTGATTTATGCTTAGCTAAATATTTAGTCAATATTTAAGGTATTTGTAAATTCATTTCAACCATTAATTAGAGAAAACTGAACATAGAATTTTATTAACAAATTAAATTAATTTTATGGTTTAATCAGTCATTTTATAACTAGGAACTTTAAAGGCTCCAAATAGGTAGGTACAAACTATGTATTACAGTCTCTGGAGCAACCACTAAAATATGCAGAGATAGCTATAGATATTAAAATAGCATTTTAAAATATAGTTGATTAATAGTAATAACAAAGTAAAAATATGCAAGTGAATATAAAACTAAATAAGAAAATTGAAATGTAGGAAAACTGAAGATCAAAATGCTATCATATCAATAGTTGCTTTAAACTCACTAATTTTTTTAGTTATATAACTTTAAAAAATCAAGAAAAAGAATAGGCATTATAATTTTACCATTTCTGATACTCATTATTATTTCCTGTAGAAATGAGGTGTCATTTAGTGTCATTTACTTTCACATTAAACTTCTTTTAACATTACCCAACAGTTGCATATCTATTTTGAAAGGTTTGTTTCATTTTCTGTTAATCTGAAAATAATTCATGTGATTATTTTGTCTGTCTGTATTCTCAACGTGATATTCCAGCATCTTCTGGACTCCATAGTTTCTGATAAGAAGTCAGTCATTAAATGTTGTCTTATCCTCCCTTTTTCCAGTTCCTTGAAAAAAAATTTTTTTTAAAATTTTATTTAAGGAGAAAAAGAAAAAAAAAAAAAAACAGAAAAAGGGTACAAGTTATACAGAATTTCAGAAAAAATAAACTGTAGGAAATCACTAGTTAATAGATTACATATTGTCATCTTAGAAACAGTTGTTCAAGTTACAAAGTTAAAGCATATAAAGTGGACTTTCAAACAGTGAGACTGCAAACAGTTCTGCTCAATGAGCCAATAAAACTCAGTAATATGGTTGTCTATCTTATACACTTAAATATACATGCAGTTGTATCCTATAGAGCACTTTCTTTTCCTCTCTTTTGTACAATGACAATTACACATTTTGGGTTTTATTACTCCCACAGTTCTTATTACTTTTTTTTGAAGAGAGTAAAACCAAATGTGACATAATAGGACAGAGTCAGTCAAATCAAAAGGATGGACATAATACACAATGTAAAAACAAAATACAAGGTGATCAACAATGGTTACCATACTGCCTCTTGCTATCTTAAAAATAATTGCCTATATCATCAGTTATAATAAAATTGAACAAAACAGTAAAGAATAAAACCAAAACATTGGAGACATTATAGGACTTCAAAAGAAGATAATTAGTCAACCAGAATGGGCGTCATAATGAATCTTATTGTCTTCAGAGTTGTTGCCTATACTTGCAAAGTTGGTACTATCAAGCAAAGCAGAATAGGGGAAAATCAGTCAAAACAAGATGGTGAGAGCAATATAGGGTTTCAAATTAAGTTAATAGGAAATCAACGTGGGTTACTGTAATATATCCTGCTATTTTTAATTTATTTTTCCCTTAATTAAAAAGATAAAAATAAAAAAGTAAACAATAAAAAAAGGAGATTGAGATAAAAGAGAGCATAATAACAAAACAGCACAGGTCAAAACACAACCATTTAAGCAAAATAGTGTTTCACCACAAGATATCCTGACATAAGAGTAGTTACCGTAGTGTCTCTTTCCTTGAAATCTTTGAGTATAACTTTGTATACTGTAGCACCAAACATATCAAGACAATGTAAAACCATTCAAGAGAATGACAGGATTACAGGGTATTTAGAACCAACTATCAGAAAATGAACAATGGTTTCTGTATAATCTCCTTGTCTATAAATGTTTTTGTTTATATTATCACATATAATAAAATCCAATAAGATACAACCTGTTAAGACTGATGGAGACAGAAGAAGCAAAGCTTGATGGGACTTCAAAACAAGATGATACTAAATCAGCACTAGCTATTATGATGTCTTGTTTTCTCCAAAATAGCTGTTCCTATCATCCAACCTTCTCTGGCTCATTTCTGTTGAGCTCTTTTTCTGTCATTGGTTGTCAGTTTGTCTTCCTCATTTCGCTTTCTGCTCCATTCATTGTGGCCTCTCTGCCATTGTTTCTGGAATCTTGGTATTTTCCTTTTTTAGAATATCCTGCAGTATTCTCTGTAAAGTTGAATTGGTGGTTGCAAATTCCCCTAGTTCCTCTTTATCCTAGAAGCACCTTGTTTTTCCATCAATTTCTAGGGACAGTTGTGCATGATATATCAATTTTGGCTGGAGGTTATTATCTTTCAAAGCTTGAATTTTCACCCCATGCACTTTGTGATTTGATGGTTTGTGCCGAGAAGTCTGCTGTAATTCTGGTGGGTGTTCCCTTGTAAGTGATCTGTTTCTTGTCTCTGACAGCTTTTAATATTCTGTTCTTATATTGGATTTCTGGCATTTTGATTATTATATGCCTGGTTGTAGTTCTGTTTGGGTTGTAGGTGGCTGGGGTCCTGTATGCCTCATACACCTGAGTATCTTTACCTTTTGCTAAATTAGGGAAATTCTCCTGGATTATTTCTGTGAATAGCTTTTGTAGTTCATTTGTTTGTGTCCCTACTTCTTCTTTTATGTTCTTAATTCTTAAGTTATAGATCCTCTTATCATCTTCTAGCCTTTGTATTATTGCTGTTTGTTCTCTTGTTATTTTTTAAGAAGTTTTTCATTTCATGCTCCCACATTACAAATCTGTCCTCCAGTTCAGATAATCTATCCTTAATTTCTTTCAAGCTGTTATGCCAGCTTTCGATAGAGTTTTTAATTTCCTAGTAATCTCTTTGAACCTGCTTTACATATTCTATGTTTTCTCTATTTTCTCCATCAAACAATTCTCACCTTTTTTTCTGTTCTTCCATTCCACCGTCTGTTTTTTCTTGGGTGGTGTTTAGCATTTCTCTAACTATTCTACTTATTTCTTGCTTTATTTCATTAAATACTTCATTTTTGAACTCATCTATGAGGCTCCGGAGATATTGCTTTATGTCTATTGGTGCCGTGCCTGATATTGCATGTTTTCTGTCCTCCTTTCCATTTACCTTTCCTGGATCAGTGTTCTCAGGATTGGGGACTGAGGACCCTTTCTTATTGCTCCCTCTTCCCATACTTTTTGTTCCTTCCATACAAGCGTGTGTAGGAGGCCTAGTTTTTTTCTTTGTCT